CACATGGTGTTGGACCAGATGACGCCAAAAGGCGCACAACTCAAAGACAATGCACCATCAGAGTATGAGAGCTCGGGGTAAGCATTTACACCATTGGAACCTCATTTGCCAGTAAAAATTATGATAATTAGTTGTTTACCCTTTTATCTGGAGTCATGTTTGCATAGACCACAATACCATTTCTTATATTTATTTATTTAGTTTTGGTAGTAGGGTTTCCAAATGCTTGGTGTGTATGTGTGTGTGTTGGGCTTCTTTCGCGCCATGCATAACCAACCACGTATATGGGATTTGGTCCTTGTACGTATAATTAACTAGCTTAGCTTCACCCGAGACTTGGATTCTTGTCTTGGATGAATACACGGCGTAGGCGGAGGGTGGGGGGGATGCGTGACGTCAGCAGGCACGCTGCGTGACGCTGCCGCATGCAGATGACATCACAAATGTGACGTCACCGCTCACTTTATTATATCCATTATTCCACCCCCCGCCCCCCCAAAAGTCTATTTTTATACTTTTTGCATTGTGTACAGTCTGGAAGCAACCCACATGCCAAATTTCAAGTTTGTTGCATGTTGGGAAGTATGCTGAACATTTCAAACAGACACACATATTCACAAATTTCCTTTATATACAGTGAGGGAAAAAAGTATTTGATCCCCTGCTGATTTTGTACGTTTGCCCACTGACAAAGAAATGATCAGTCTATAATTTTAATGGTAGGTTTATTTGAACAGTGAGAGACAGAATAACAACAACAAAATCCACAAAAACGCATGTCAAAAATGTTAGAAATTTATTTGCATTTTAATGAGGGAAAAAAGTATTTGACCCCTCTGCAAAACATGACTTAGTACTTGGTGGCAAAACCCTTGTTGGCAATCACAGAGGTCAGACGTTTCTTGTAGTTGGCCACCAGGTTTGCACACATCTCAGGAGGGATTTTGTCCCACTCCTCTTTGCAGATCTTCTCCAAGTCATTAAGGTTTCGAGGCTGACGTTTGGCAACTCGAACCTTCCGCTCCCTCCACAGATTTTCTATGGGATTAAGGTCTGGAGACTGGCTAGGCCACTCCAGGACCTTAATGTGCTTCTTCTTGAGCCACTCCTTTGTTGCCTTGGCCGTGTGTTTTGGGTCATTGTCATGCTGGAATACCCATCCACGACCCATTTTCAATGCCCTGGCAGAGGGAAGGAGGTTCTCACCCAAGATTTGACGGTACATGGCCCCGTCCATCGTCCCTTTGATGCAGTGAAGTTGTCCTGTCCCCTTAGCAGAAAACACCCCCAAAGCATAATGTTTCCACCTCCATGTTTGACGGTGGGAATGGTGTTCTTGGGGTCATAGGCAGCATTTCTCCTCCTCCAAACACGGCGAGTTGAGTTGATGCCAAAGAGCTCCATTTTGGTCTCATCTAACCACAACACTTTCACCCAGTTGTCCTCTGAATCATTCAAATGTCCATTGGCAAACTTCAGACGGGCATGTATATGTGCTTTCTTGAGCAGGGGGACCTTGCGGGTGCTGCAGGATTTCAGTCCTTCACGGCGTAGTGCGTTACCAACTGTTTTCTTGGTGACTATGGTCCCAGCTGCCTTGAGATCATTGACAAGATCCTCCCGTGTAGTTCTGGGCTGATTCCTCACCGTTCTCATGATCATTGCAACTCCACGAGGTGAGATCTTGCATGGAGCCCCAGGCCGAGGGAGATTGACAGTTCTTTTGTGTTTCTTCCATTTGCGAATAATCGCACCAACTGTTGTCACCTTTTCACCAAGCTGCTTGGCGATGGTCTTGTAGCCCATTCCAGCCTTGTGTAAGTCTACAATCTTGTCCCTGACATCCTTGGAGAGCTCTTTGGTCTTGGTCATGGTGGAGAGTTTGGAATCTGATTGATTGATTGCTTCTGTGAACAGGTGTCTTTTATACAGGTAACAAGCTTAGATTAGGAGCACTCCCTTTAAGAGTGTGCTCATAATCTCAGCTGGTTACCTGTATAAAAGACACCTGGGAGCCAGAAATCTTTCTGATTGAGAGGGGATCAAATGCTTATTTCCCTCCTTAAAATGCAAATCAATTTATAACATTTTTGACATGCGTTTTTCTGGATTTTGTTGTTGATATTCTGTCTCTCACTGTTCAAATAAACCTACCATTAAAATTATAGACTGATCATTTTTTTGTCAGTGGGCAAACGTACAAAATCAGCAGGGGATCAAATACTCTTTTCCCTCACTGTATATATGTATAGCGTTGTGGGATGCTGTTGGCATGAATGACGCTAAGTATAAAATTAAAGTTTTGTCATTAACGACGACGATGGTAATGATCGTCATTTAGTTTTTTGATAAGAGCGCGCGCCCTCCTTTCCGCCCGGGCGTCTCGACAATGCCCTGGACGTGATGAGCGACGGACACCGTATCTCATCCTAAACATCTCATCAGAGGGCACACCCATTGGCAGCTGTCCCAGTGCGGCAACAAAGTTGATTCAACACTTGGCCCGCAGCCGGGCGTTAAGTCTGCCAGTATGGGGGGGGGGGGGCGGTGATCACTGTTTGTGACCCCGATCAAGTAGTGTGCGGAGTAATTTTAGAATGTGGTAAAAATTTGGACTGTGACGTCGGCACGCAGTGGCCGATTCGTTTCGAACGGGCCACCACGGTGGCTAGGATATGTTGACTACATCGCCCGGTATGCAGGAGGTCGTGGGTTCCATCCCGACCCTGACACCTGCTGTATATTTTAGTTTGCATGTTTTTTCTCTCTCTCTCCCCGTAGTCGCGTGGATTTTCTTTGGGTCCTGCGGTTTTTCCTTCCATTTATAATCAACATCATGCGCTTAGAGTATTTGGCTGCTATAAATGTCCACATGATAAGCCACTTCATTGGACTCTCATTTTGGCCAGGTCGCTTCTGAAAAGAGCAATGTAGCTCAGGGGGCCTTACCTGGTAAAATAAAATAAATACAAAATAAATTGTTTTAGTTTAGTTTAGAATTTCGTCGAACGTGTCCGTCAAGCCAGAGCCAGGCACTGAGAGTGTCAGAGCCAGTGAGATGCCCTGGGGACGTGGCCGGTGTGCGTTATCAGTAATTTATCGCTGCGCAGGGCAGTGTCAAAGGGCAGAGGTTTCAGCTCCACGTTGGCCGGTTTATCATATAAATATTTTTTGTTGCTCAATCGTCGCAGCAGCTCTCAGTGAGCGACTCCCCATGGGACGTGGGGGACTCCGCCTCGTCGTGTCGATGGAGGTGACCCCGTGAGGGTCACACGTGTGTGGAACGCGTGTCAGGGCATAGGTGGCGTGTGGGGCAATGGGTCCGAATTGGAGCGCAATTTTCTAATTGTTGCAGGGGTTCTCGGTTTCGGTCCCAGCCGCCACCCCGGTTAATACCATGCGGCTCGTTGCCCGTGATTACGCGCCGTCTGCTTCATGGCGGACGTTTGAAGATCTCCGCGATCTTGTTTCGCACGGAGCCGGACGTGTGTGCAGGAGTCACGGTCCAAATTTGCCAAGTGTGGATGGGTGCAAATTGCTTACTTTGGTAATGTAGCCGAGCCAATGACCCCGATTGGCAGACACGACCCATTTTGATCAGCACCTTGCGCCAAAATAATGCTGCGAATACCAAATCTACTAAAATGATTATAATTATTAGAATGTCCATCATGGAACTTCTGGCACTTCACAGTGCAGGGATATAGGTTCAAGATAGCTGATCTCATCACGGAGCATAAACCGTCATGCAAACTCCAGTTACCGTGCAGCAACGGCTATTGGCTCTGCATCGAACAAAGGCGGTCGCCGCATCGCGGGCTTTCGGATGCACTTCTGCGGCCGTCTGGAACGCTCTTCCTTCCGATAATAGGAAGCCACTGCAGCTATGCACTTTAAAATCATCTGGAATGGAAACTCATATCTTTAAAAGTTTTTGGTGTTTAGTTTGTTGTCCTTCTCCCGCGCTTGCGATTAGGGCGGTTGGCTACATACGGTGTGAAGTTCAACAAACACACGTGCATACGCGTTTATCGACATGTATATGGTATTCCTCGTTATTCACGAACTTGCCCATCCGCGTTCTTGGCTATCCATGAATCGCATTGGGAATTCTACACGACTGCATTGAGAGAGAGTGAGAGAAATAAAGTGACGAGAGCTCAAGTGATGAATCGCACCAAGCCAGATTCAGGTGTTTTATGATGCCAACGAAGCACGGTTTGCTTCCAGTTCGGCTCCGCAAATAGCCAGTGGAAAACCACCCGTACCATGCTAGCCCTGCACCGGCTTGGCTTGGTGCGAGTGGAAAATTGGGTATCTGAGCCACTGAGCCACCTCCATGATGGCTTCACTAAAATCCACAGCCGCGGGATTTGTTCTCCAAATCTCTCCCTCCGTGGTCACGTGGAATTTTTCTCCGGTTCCTCCGGTTTTTCCCCCTCCACTTTATAATCAAGATCACGCGTTAGGTGTTTGGCAGCTGCTGTACATTTCGACGCGATGATGGTAAGCCATTTCGTTGAACTTTCATTTGTGATGGTCAGGTCTCTTCTGAAACGGAACCATAGAGCTTCGTGGGCCTGACCTGGTAAAATTAAAATTCATTTTCGTTTCTATTTAAGCCTCGGTCCCGATCTGATCGACGACAGATGTCGACTTCCAGGTCAAGTCTGTGCCTGTGGATTTCATGTGGTCCTTCTCCTTGTCTGATCGACTAAAGCAGTTAGACATTTCACACGCTCCTAGTTATCCAATATCATCAGGGCCGCCAATCGGTGAGCCCAGGACATCTTTTTATAACCAACACGTAGCCAATGACAGTTGCTATCATTGGTTTTCGTCGGCGCCCCGCTGTTTCTACGGTGCGAAAGAAGTTCAACACACATGCATAACGTTGCTGCGGAAAAACTAAAAACTAAACTGAAACTAAAAATAGTTTAGATTTAGTTTGGCCGTCGCACGCGCCCGCCTTGACCGTGTTTGCCACGCGCATGCCGCAGGTCGACGGGCTGCTCGGAGGTGATCGTGATCGTGGGCGGCTGCGAGCGGGTGGGTGGCTTCAACCTGCCCTACACGGAGTGCTACGACCCCATCACCGGGGAGTGGACGTCGCTCTCCAAGCTGCCCGAGTTCACCAAGTCCGAGTACGCCGTGTGCGCACTCCGTAACGACATCCTCGTCTCCGGTACGTGGCGATGGTGGCGGCAGTGTTGGTGGTGGTGATGTTGGGGGTGGTGGTGGTGGTGTTGGCGGTGATGCTGATGACGGGCGTGGTGGTTGTGATCGGGAATGGCAGCGCGTGTGGTGTTGGGGTAAAGCGTGGGTGGTGGTGGTGGTGGGGTAAAATGTGGGTGCTCTCACATGTGTCACGCCACTGCCAGCAGTGATGTGTGCAAGCCCTTGCAGGGCTGCACCTTTTCCTTTCTTTTGAGTGGCTAGACACAGCGCTGTGAATCGTTATCTCTCATCATTATCATTGTCGTGATCGTCCGCACCTCCGATTAGTACAGTTGGCCGCATATGTGCGTGCGTATGTTGGAACTTCTTTTCGCGCCGTACGCAACCAACCATGCTAAACCGTAGGTGCAAAATAAGTTAAACGTGCACGGACGACCTCTTTAAAAGAGGCCCCCTCGAGCCTGGCGCAGTTCCAGTGCCCCCAGGGGCCGAGTGTCACGTGGGATCTGTGCATCCCATCTGCCGATTGTTACCCGCGGCGGCGGCGGTAGCGGCGGCGGCGGTGGTCCTGCTGCCACCCATCTGGCTACCGCTTTGCCGCAGGCTGTTGTTGTCGTTGCTGCTGCTGTAGCCGGCTCGCCGCGCCGTCCCAGGGCGGTGGGTGGGACACGGCAGGCAGCGAGCGAGCGGGCAGGCGGGCGTTGGGGCGTAAATGATTTCCGCGGGGTGTTTTAAACGACCCCGGCTGACCCCCGGCCTATCTGTGCAGATTAATGTCCGTGCAGGGGCGCCGATTGAAGGCGAACGCCTGGATCGCGCGCGTTTGGCGATTTCCGACGTGCGATTAAGCGTACAGTCATGTGGCCCACGTGAAAAAATGATCAAACGCCCCTCTACGTTGAAGCGTTTTGTGTCCGTTTGTTATAATGAGATGCATCCTGGGCTTAATTGCAGTCGGATCGGTCCCGGGTCAGTGGCCCGGAATATATGTCTGCACCCGACACACACCACATGCAGTATGCATCTCACTATGGCTGTGGCTATGAGTCACCACGTGCCCTTCTCCGGTTCACCAGCGACCCAGAAAAAAATTCGGTGAGAATGACAATAGTGATGCTAATGCAATTTAGAATGTGCACAATATTTCCTAAATGACAATAGATCTGATACCCAGATTCATCTTTTCTATCAACGTTCGGTTTGGGGCACAGCTGGCAGGCACGGCAGTGGCCCCAATTATTAATAATTATTTTATTCTTAACTCTCCGGCGTGTTTTCTGGTCGTGCCGCTCATAGCGTCGTTGCAAGACTGCATCTCACAACGCTGTACAAGACAACAGCCAACAATATCTCTATTGCCCCTCGCAAGACACATAGCACACTCAAAACCAAGGTCTGACTCAAAAGCCGTAGTCATCAAAGGTTTTTTTTTTAACTGGGACTTAAATAGCGGAAGGGACATAATTTGGCGCAAAATGGAACCCAGTCGGTTCTTGAATTCAGTTTTGTCTAAGAAGCTCCCGGCATGTGGAGCGAATCATCGGACATCGCGCCGAACGACGCGTGGCAGAACTCAAAAAACGCCGGCCGCGAGCGACTTGCTGACAATTTCCATAACACGGCTCCTCGTTACCCAGGGGGCACTGGGGCCATAATTCGCATCTGTCTGGCCGCGGTGGGGGGAGCAGCTCTTAGCCCTGCGGGGTGTGGGGGTGGTGGTGGGGGCCGGGTGCAGTGGCCGTGAGAGCCGGGAGTGGGATTAGGGTGGTGGTGGTGGTGGCGTCGGTGCTTGCCGAGGCGTGATGCAAATTGTCGATCTGTGTCACCGAGGACAGCGCAGCGAGCGCGACGGCTCCGCGGGGAGAGAGGCGCTCCCTGCGGCGTCGCGAGCGGGGAGCGATCGATGATGGATCGCGCGGGCGAGGCCAGCGTGGAACCTGGATGCGGAATAAGAGCGCGGTTTTTATTTTTAGCTGTCGCGTACATCCATCCCTCCATTGTTTTTAAAGATCCTGGCGGTGATGAATGAATGTGCAATTGTGTTGTGATTTGTCATGAAAGCAATCGCACTTGAACACGTGGCTAAAAATGTATACGACCGAGGATGAAGTGAGGAATTTATAAATTTATATGGCACTTGTTTTTAGACAAAAACAAAAGTGATGCTGTAATGAAACTGCAGTTGTGCCGACACTGATGTGTGGCTCCGAACGCTGGAGAATGAGAAAATCCGACGAGCAACAAAACAACAACAACAACACCACCAGAGAAGAGCGACCGATGCGGGCGAGAGTAACTACTGAATGGCAGTCGAAGGGAAAGCTGCGTCCACCGCGGAGATGGAGCGGTCAGATCGGCTCGTACGCCGTGGCTCGGCGCCGGACGGGATCGTCGCATCGTGGAGGCGTCTGTGGAAACGAGTGTCGTGAGCTCATCGTATTCCTCCGGTCGATAAAAAACATTCTGATGCGGCAGCGGTTTGATCGTGGCCGATGATGATTGCGCACCATCATTTCCCCGAATTCTGTTATTACACGCGTGCAGTTTTTGTTCGTTCCAGGGCGGGACCAAAAACGCATGCAACTGAAGGGGGGGGGATGGCCCTTCTTTAAGCAGAAGAGACAAAGGGGGGGGGGGCCCGACTGTTGCAAACTGAGAGCTTCAGTGAATGAGATCTACGCGCTAGTCCGTGGTGGCGGACGCCCGCTCGGCCAGCTCCGGCGACTCCAACAGAGCGCGAGCGTCGCCTGACCGGAGTGGCCGGGCATCGGCCGCAGTGAAGGCGATGGTCAGTGGCCGTGCAACTGCCGGCCCCGTGCTCACTCGCCACGCCGTTCCCCGGCAGCTGGTCGCGATCCTGCGTTCGGGGGCAGGGGGAGGTAGAGTCTATTCCCGAATGGACTTTTGTCATCGCAATGTAACATGGGGCGCCAAATTGGCATGATTGGTGAACGATCGGGTCTTCTTGGATGCACGGTTTGACGCGCCGTGGTCAATCCACTGCTGGATGAAGGCCTCCATCCCTCCCTCTCCCACAAAACTGCCACCAACTCTCGTGTTCCTGCGTTGCATTGTCCCACGTAGCGACCGTGCACACAAACTGATCTCATCGCTCTCGGACGCGTTCTGCTCCTTAACTGCCTCTGTAATTATTATCGACATCTGCTCTCGTGCCATCTAGAGCTAGAGACTTGTCCTGCCCAAACCCACTTAACATAACTGTCTGACAGCAGGGGTGTCGACCAAGACCAATTATAGCAACCATCATTGGCTATAAAAAGATGCACTGGGTTCACCAATTGGCTGACCTGATGATATTGAATAACTAAGGGGGCGTGACTAAATGTCTGACTGCTTCAGTCGATCAGACGAGGAGAATGACCACATGAAATCCACAGAAACGGACTGAACCGGAATTCGACAGTGGTCGTCGGTCAGACCGAGACCGTGGCTGAAATAGAAACTAATCCATGAACTAGGTTTTATTTTACCAGGCTAGGCCCACTCAGCCATGGAGCTGTTTTTCAGAAGCGACGTGGCCACAAATGACAGCTCAATGAAGTGGCTTATGTGGAAATTCATAGAAACCAAATACTCCAAACGCATGTTTCTGAATGTGGAGGGACAATCCAGAGGACCTGGATAACAAAAAAAATCCACGGGGAGAACGCGCAAATGTACAGCAGGCGTCAGGGTTAGGATTGAACCCACGACCTCCTGCATGCCAGGCGAAGGAGTTAACATCTTACCACCGTCAACCTGCGTGCGTTCTCTTATCAAAGTGTTCCTCGATCCACCCTCTCGAGGGGCTCTTTACGAGCCCCTCCCCCTCTCATGGAGGCCCTTCTGCCTGCAGTGGCATGAGCAGGAAGTTTCAGAGCTGCACTGTTACCTTTTGGCTTTTGTTCCACCATGGATTTGCTCCCACTGCCAACACAATACGTTGAAATTTTTATTTATTTTTGCAACAGAATAAGAACCCAGCGTAATTATTTTTCTGGACTGTGTAGCTGATTACATTCCTCCCCCCGCCCCCATCCCTGGCTGAGGGTTCCTCTTGCAGCAGAGTCGGAAAGGGGCGCGTTGAGGCCGTGACTGCTGCCGCTATCATGCCCGCACCAGCTGCGTCTGCAAGGCCTCTTTTGTCAGCGTCCTTATCTCGGTCCGCCAGGAGGCCCAGAGTTCCGCACGTGCGGCCGCAGCCACCGCCGGTAGACCTCTGCCACGCTGCTCGCGCTGCTCGTGCCGTGCCGCGCTTACGTATCTGCATGGAGTATGCCGCGCGCTGCATACTCGATGCAAATGCGTGCAGAGGAATAATTGGCTGCTCCTGATCCGGCCGCGATGAAGCTTGGCCGCCTTCCCCTGCCCGCTTTCATGGCGGCGTGTCGTGTGCGTTGTGCGTGTGTGCGCGTGCGTGTGCGTGCGTGTGTGTTTGCTGCCAAAGCGGTGGTGTAGCGGTTCACGCTACGAACCCGGCGGCCCGAGTTCGATTCCCGCTCACGGCCAACACCAGTAACAAATATCTGAGCCGGTCCTGGGCCTCCCCTAGGTCGACTCGGCCCCAAATTATGAGTACCCGTTGCGGTAGGCGTGGTGCTGTGGCCACTCACCCCCTCAATGTGCCGTGTCGGCCTTCATAGGTGCTTGCTAACAGCACTCGCCCCAACAATCTGTCCCGTGACCCCCCGCCAGGGAGCCCTCGACGCTTGACGTGGCCACGCAGTTGCACCTAGCCCGGCGCAAGTGCCACTGCGATCGTTTGCCAGCGGTCGCTTTCACCCACGAGGCTACCGCCCCCTAGGCCGTCCTCCGGCTCGCTCTGCAACCGCGACGCGTACGCACGAGCCCTGCTGATCGCAGCGGGGACAAGGAGAAATGGGTCAATCGCTCGAGCCGTGTGTAGTCGTCGTGCGTGCTGCTGCTGCTCACCCCCCCCCCCCCCCCGTTACTGAGCCGAGCCGCGAGGAGGCGTCGTGACCGGCAACTTTCGGAGCGTTCAATTCGCTCGCCCCATTTCTCTCCGACCCTTCCCCCCCCCCCCCCCGAGCCTTCCGCCACTGCTGCTATAAATTGTTGTGTTTGCCGGAGCCCAATTATTGCTGTATAATGAAGCCCTATTTAGCAGCGTGCGCGGAGCATGGGCACGCGCCGCTGTGCTTTGTGTGAAGGCTGCGAAGCGGTCGTGCCGATCTCGGCGAGGAGCGTAAACCATCGCCACGCGGACTCCGGTCGTTCTCGTGGCGGCAGCGGCCCCTGCAGCAGCGGCTTTCGGCTGCTCGTCATCGAACAAAGGCGGCGGTCACCGCATCGCGACGCTTTCGGACGCACTTCTACGACCGTCTGGAACGCACCTTCCTTCCGATATTTGAAAGCCAATGGATCTGTGCACTTTTAAATCATCTCGATTGAAAATTTTATTTCTTTCTATTTTTTTGTGTTTAGTTTGTTGTCCTCCCCCCCCCCCCCCCCCACCGGCACCTCCGATTAGCACGGTTAATTGCGCACGGTGCGAAAGAAGTTCAACATACAACATACATACGTCGCCTATCGATCCAGCAGGGACTGTGTTTATTGACATGTTGACCTATTGAGAGAAGTAGGTGAATAACAACGCCACCCCTCTCCCATAGTTTCCATGTAAAACATTTTTTTTTAACACACAACCCATACACCAGTAACAGCCTTTTTATTGGCAGCATGATTAGTGCACCCACTGTCGACTTGCTCACAACGTGGTTCTGGTTTTGTCCATGGCGAGCCGAGTCAACCCCCCCACCCCCCGCCCCCCAAGTTAGGATTTGACCGCTCAGCCTTCGGGGTGCAGGTTTTGTTTCGTGCGCGGTCCGCTGGAGGGTTCCTCATAAACTAAACAAATTTTTATTTTACCAGGTAGGACCCACTGAGCTATGCGTATATTTTTTTCAGGAGCAACCTGGCCACATAAGGTAACTCAACGAAGTGGCTTATCACGTGGACATTTCTAGCAGCCAAATACTCTTAAACCAGAGGAACCGGAGAAAAATCCACACCACCACGGCGAGAGAGACACGCAAACTCCAAGTATACAGCAGCAGGCGTCAGGGTCGGGATCGAACCCACGACCTCCTGCATACCAGGCGAGGTAGTTAACATCTCCTAGCCACCGTGCCGGCTCCCGAGCCGGCGACTCACGGGATCTTGTCATGGTGCTGCGGCATCCCCGGCTATCAGCCACCTCGTAACCCTTTCTTAAATAGGAAACTGTTGTTTTTGCCGCTCCTAAACCAGGAGTGTGAAAAACATCGATCGCTGACTCCTTTCCCGTTCCGAGTACGTCTTTCAAGTTGCAGCGTGGGGGTGTCCCGTTCACCGCCGAATCTCAGAACGCGCGAGCGGCGCGGCTTTAATTTGATTCAGCGAGGCGTCGTAGCGCTGCTGTTTTAAGGACGCCGTACTCGCCGCAGGGAACCGCAGCGGCACGACCGCACTCTACGATGGCCGGCGCCAAACTGCGCCACGCGCCCTCCCGCGTAGCCTTTTACTTCCGATTCGGTTCCGATAACGTACGCGTACGTGGACGTGTACGATGACGTACACACGTGCGATGTACGCGTCGTACGCGTGTGTCATCGCAATGGGGAGAGGGTTAATCGTTTTGCACGCCCCGGCATCGCTTGACCGCCGGGCGCAAGGCACGCGTCCCCGCGTGCATTATTCACGTTCCCCCCCAGCCTCTCAGTTGCGCCTCGCTCTGCGTTGCCTGGCAACGGACCATTCGAGACCGTGACTGGAGGAAAAGCGAGCGGGGGGTTTTTGTTGTTGTCAACGTGAATAAGTGGAATGAGAGAGGGGTTTTTTTTGTCATGGTTATGAGGGGGAGGGGGGGTACGTTAATAAAATGTCATTCCTGTTCCGAATATCGGAAGCCTATTTCATTATTTGGCCAAATCTAATGATAACGTATATTTTGAGATGATATTTTGGGTAAACTCGACAGACAATATGCTGACCTTTCTTGCCAGCGTTAAAATATAACAACAGGTTTTACCCTTTCCAGCAATAAAACAATTGTGTCCAGATGTTAAAACACCAAAACAGAATCCTTATTCAAGGAGTCCGGTCTGCATTACGTACTTGTGGCAAACATACAAACAAAAAAGCATGCCCTGATAATCAATCGGTTTCAAAGACAATGCATCATCATATACTACCAGAGCATGTTTTTTGTTTGCATGTTCACCACAAGTACTGTGTGTGGTTAATGCAGACCAGGACTCTTTGAATAAGGATTCTGTTTGGCATCTTGACACCAGTTTTATTGCCGGGAATGGTAAAACCCGTTATATCGAAAGACACTCTCCATTTCGCTGTTTCTCAGTGTCTCTCGTCTCCCATGGTCTCTCTGTGTCTTCCTCTGTTTCCTCTTCTCTGTCTCTCAGTGTCTAGCTCTCTCTCTCTGTCTCATTTTGTCTCCCTCTGTGTCTATGTCTCTCTCTGTGTCTTCCTCTGTCTCCTCTTCTCTGTCTCTCTCTGTGTCTACCGCCTCTCCAATGAGGCTACCACTGGTTTGTCCGGGACTCTTCTCAGCGGGAGGGTTCCCCATTGAGATGATGGAGCATGCTCATTGTTGAATGTCAGGCATGTGAGAGGAAACCGGAGTGCAGAGAAAGTCCGCAGAGGGGGTCACACTGCAAGCTCTGCACAGAGGGATTCAATCCATCGCTCGACACAATTCCCTCACTATTCACGAACTTGCTATCCGCAATTTTGGCTGTTCGCGAATCGCATCCGGAACTCAATAGTTAAATAATTTCGTAGCTCAGTGGGCTTTACCTGGTAATATACCAAAAATATATATAACATGAAATGTACATTTCCTATACTTTGCACTCCTATCGTGTGTTGTACTGTTTGTTGTTGTAACGTGATGCTCCTACTGTTGTGGAGTGACTCATGCAGACAGCTATGGCTGCAGGGTTTTGGTAGTACATGTTGTTTATGCCATTTATTGTGAAAATTCCGTCACAGTTCCTATGATCACTGTTTCATTGGTGGCATGGCTTTATTTTGGTGATTTCTAAAAGTGTATTGGTTTAGCCATGTTTGTTGTAGTACAGAGTTAGACTGATGGCCTTAATCTAAGTTGTCTTGTGGTTGTTGTTGGTTGTTTGACTTGCATCCCACTGGGATTTTTGCACACAGCGTTGGTGTACGGTGCTTTTTTCTGAAATATTTTGCTGTCTTTTCTTGGATTTTCTGTTTGCACTCAGTTACATATTCACTTTAAGATGTTTTTGTTCATGTTTTTTTGTTTGTTGCGGTTGCACCCGATTCAAGAGCCGAATGGCTCACAGGGCTATACCTAATAAATTAACTTGAACTTGACATCTGTGAAAAATAGCTTCATAGCTCATCGGATTCCTCCCGATTCTCCTTTGCAGGTGGGTGTCCTGGTCTGTACATTGCCGCTCGATGCTCCGGTCGCCCCCAAGGTGGGCCCCGTATTCTGCTTGAATTCCGTGTGACTGTCCCTCGTGTGTTGCTCCTGCTCCCCCCCCTCGCCCCCCCCCCCCCCATGCCTCTGTGCAGGTGGACGAATCAACAGCCGCGACGTCTGGATGTACAACTCGCAGCTCAACGTGTGGGTGCGCGTGGCGTCGCTCGCAAAGGGAAGGTGGCGGCACAAGATGGCCGTGCTGCACGGAAAGGTGAGCTGCTCTCCGCGATCGTCGCGACGCCGTTTGGAATCGTAGTTCCTCATCCAGCGGTGGATTGATCGGCCAGTGATCGTCCCGCTGCTGGATGAAGGCCTCCGCCGAGTCGTCTGTGATGACGTAGGCAAGAGAACAAATGAGCAGCCATTATGCCTCCTGTAAAGTCTCCGAGGCGGCGCCAATGATTGTTGTGTGTTACGTATATTCTGTCGGTTTTGTGTTGAATTGGGGCCCGTGTCTTAACAAGAAAGGGCTCCTTGCCGATGAACGTCTGGCAGTTTGCCACCGCTGGTTCAAGCGAGCCTGGCTCTGCTGGTGAAACCGGTCCAGAGTCTTGCTTGTGCTGAACCACGCTGTTGAAATTACGCGCCCCCCCCCCCCCCCCCAAAGGCTGTATGTTCCAATGGGTTATGTCAAACATTAATATTTTTTTACGTGAGAGGAGACAGATATGGGAAAGAAGCATTTTGTCTTGCTCATTTATCTATTTGCAATACGATGAGACCGGATCTGAAGATTCTAGATTTGAAGTTTTCGTGACTGCAAGGATTCATACTCTTAGGTTTTTTCGGTAAAGTCACGTAGGTAAAAAATAAAATTAAAAGTGAATAATGGAAATAAAATAAAATAATAAATCACGACGTTTCGGAGGCAACACAAGTCTCCATCATCAGGTGGGACCGTCACAGAAGTAATTTTAGCTGTGACGGTCCCACCTGATGACGGAGACTTGTGTTGCCTCCGAAACGTCGTGATTTATTGTTTTATTTTATTTCCATTATTGACTTTTAATTTTATTTTTTACCTACGTGACTTTACCGAAAAAACCTAAGAGTACGGATCTGAAGACACGTGCGGCAAAAACACATTTATGGGGGCACATTTATTTTGTATCGAGAACGAGGAAGCTGGTCCCATAGGCAGTGGAATTGAGGACGACTTGAGCCCAGACTTGATCAGAGGCAACGAGTTGACAGCACAGACGGCTGGGGGGAAGGCAGATCCAGGCTATCGGGGACATCTGTGAAAAATACTGGACGTCAGTGAAAACTAATGGACATCTGTAAAAAAAAATAGAGCTTTATCGCTCATCCGATTCCTCCAGTATATCTACATATTCGGATTCGGAGGAGAAGGAGCGACCTCGCGAACGTAGCTGCACGTCAGCGCCCACTCCGCACGTACAGTCTCTCGATCGTTGCTGTGGGCGGCCATGACATTTCATCATGCACGTAAAGCCATTCTGCATGAACCCGGCCGTAGCGTTGTCATCCCTGTGAACCCCTGATCAGTGCCCTACCTTAATACAGACCAAATCAACTCTTGTTGGTCACCCCGTGCCCCTTATACATTTCAACGTTCATCCTACAAAGTCCCATCGCAAGGGAGACACACAAACTAATAGACACAATTTTTTTTTGCCCGTATCGAAACGGCTGTACGCTGTATTGACTTTAAAACTCAATTTCCCTGTACAGGAATACGGGGTAAACTGTATGGGTTGACACGGTATGCGTTTGTGGGCCAGCAAAAGCATTGCAGTGGTGCGGCAATTAATCGAATAACATGGATTCGTACGCTCGCGATGCGTGCATCGAATGCCTCGCGTGGGAATCGATTCTGCCCTTGGTATCTGCTTCGTGTATTTGTGTCACACAAGTCGAGGCATTCAGAACATAAAATATATTTTGACAGAAAAAAGCTCTGTTGTTATCCCATATCTGTCAACCCATATGGTTTACCCGTAATCTTGTACAGGGAAATTTAGTAAAAACAAAAATCCCACATTTTTTTGTAGATCGTTTCGTATATCTTAGTTAAAATGTAGGCTTAAGTTTATTTCTCGAAAAGTTGTATGTGCTCGGAGAATGTGGTGAACTCTCAGTATAACTCTCAGATAACCGGAATGTTTGACACCCCCTATTCCCCGTGGATGCCGGATAATATCCCACAATGCATTGAATCGGAATGAGCGGTGAATCGTTCCTTGTCTATTGCACAGCGGGACACAGTGGGACATGGAGACACAGCAGGACACAGGGGAACACAGTGAGACACACGGGGACACACGGGGAGACAGGGCGACACAGAGCCACACAGCGGGGCACAGCGGCATACAGCGTCACCAGTAAGATGAGCCAAGATGCACCTCACACTTTAATAGCAAGCATTTGGTTTCAAAGTTGAGCATTGCGAGTGGATGTTATCGTTGGCATGTGTGGACCTCAGGCGAAAGCAGCATATTTTAACACCCTGTCAATTGCTTCGAGAGCTGAATGGAGTTCAAAAGAACTCGAAAACAAACACCTTGTAAAATACCCAACGCAGAAGCTCATGGTCCACCCTCAACCGCATCCACAGCAGATGATGCAGCTACCTGATGTAAAATGTTTAACTTTCCAGCAATGTGCAACTGTGGTCACCAAAAACACACCGCGCAGTACAGCGTATATAACGACGCAATGCCCGCCGATCCACAAACCAGAAGGAGACATCGCAGCGATGCCCCTGACGCCGTTATGTGGGCCTGACCACCTGAATGTGACATTGTAGTTGCTGCTCTACGTCTACATCAGCAGCAAGAAGAAGAAGAAGAATTAGGCAATGCCACGGTTAGACTGTTTCGTGTACAGGTGGATTGAATATGGAAACTGGATCTGTAGGACTAAAGATTGCGGAGAGCAGGAGAGGGGAAAGGGGGAGATTGAGCGGTAGGGGTGGCTCTAACAGTTATTTTAAAACCTAATCTAAAAAAAGACACACACACACACTTGCGTGCGCACACTCCGGCAAGTGTAAATATAGGTTAAAGGCGCAGCCCTGCGATTGCGTCCTCACACCACTTTCAGTGTAAGGGCCTCCACCAGAGGGAGCTCTAAAGAGCCCCCCCCCCTGCCCGCTCGAGGGTGTTTTTGGCCTACTCTTCCTCGCTGGCCGGAAATCTTGAAACAGGCGCAAGTACCCACACTTTCCCCCACCACACGGGACCTGCCGATCCGTCGATTGTGGTGAACCCATTCATCATGCTGGGTGAACGGAGGCATGGGCGGGAGGGGTTTAATATAAGTCGTCCCCTGTTGTTGTAGAAGTGCCGCGCCGGGAGATTGAATTTAACCGGCGACCTCCGGATTGCAAGTCCAGGGCGCCGCTGAGCGTTAAACGGCGGCGTCTTCATTTTAAAAACGACGTAAACCAAGGACACATCTGATTTATTTTTTTCAAAAGACATGCATATATATGTACCTACGCACGCACAGTCCGTCAAATGTAAAAATACACGCATTTTCTGACACCCACTCTCTCCCACTCGCACGCCGATTACGCGCATCCTGTTGTCGCAGAGGAGCTCACGCGCTGCACGCACGCACACGCCAGCACGCGCGGGGGTCACGTGCCCATCGTGATATGTCCAACGAGCCCCGCAGCCGGTAGCCCGCGTGCGATAGAGCGCGGAGCCGGCTCCTCGCAGCGCGCGTGGAAAAACTCCTAAACTCCCGGCAGAGAAGCCCGCTCCACAGACATCAGCTGGACGCAGCGTCGGCGTCTCCCCCGAGGTGCCTCCGGGGCCGTTTGAAAACTTGCCGCGGCTCCAGTTCACCGCTTTAAAGTCCACGCGTCAGGCTGTTTCCCCTTAGTGTGTTAGTTATCTTGCCCCCCTCCCCACCACCCCCCTTTTCCCCCTCAACCCATGTACATTGGCTGGGGCTGTGGGCCCCACACCCCCCCCCCTGCCACTACGTCCAGTCTCGTCAAGCCAAATCTGAATTCTTGCGGATTTTCTGTTCCCCCCTCCCACGGCAACAAACGCCAAAGAAAGTGCTGCCCCCTACTGTGGGCACTAGAGGTTATTCAAGGGCAATCGCTGAAGTAGTTGAGTGATATCCATTTCCGTGGACCGCTCTGCAAGAGGGGAAGGGTTGCGGCCGTTCTGCGAGAAATCGGGTTCCTCCTCTCGTAACGTGACGTTAATAGCGCAATCGAGAAGACACGTGAGGATTTTTTTTTTTTACTAAAGTCTGCAAGGAACTAAAATTTCGGTGACCACGGACATTCGAGCGTGCGGATTTCGGGGGCTCGGGCTTGCAAGCGCGACGAGCGGCTAACGGTGGTGGTAGTGCCGCACTCATTCGTTGGCATGGGGATTCGGCCGCGTCGCAGACAAGCTCCCTGCGTGCGATCTCACGCAATCGCTCTTTATTTCATTAATTTTTTTCCCCAACGAACAAGTGGCGGCTTGTGCAGCCGAACGACGCTCGCGTTTGGCAGATGTTTGCCAAGCCGGCGGTGCTGGTAGCGACGCAGCAAACGCCTCCCCAGCCACGTCGCGCGACGGCCTTTTTCCCACTCTCCTCCCCCTCACCGCTGTCACCACCCGCCCGGCTGTTGTTTCCCAAAATAAATTTGCACGGCCGTGGAATTATTATTTTTTTTTAGTTTTTTTTTATTGTCCGGGAATTTTTCGGGCTGCCTGGGATAAGCTCTGATGCTGCAGCTTTATTTGTGGGGATTTAAAACGTGAAGGTGCAGCCCTTGAATTTGCTTGGCCACGCCACCGCTGACGGACGGGACTGGAGCTTTGAGAGAGCGTCCCTCTACAGCGGTGATTCTCAAACTTGTTTGGGCCCGCGGACCCATTCGGCCGATGTAAACATTTCCACGGACCACCCAGCCCACCCACCAACCGCCCTGGTGATGAAAATCATTCACTTCTCTCTCTACACATCGATGTGCTGTGCTAGTAACGGATTGGCACGTTCTGTGTACGTGACAGACCTTACTGATGGGCTGTGTCGGGTGGTGGTGGTTTTAACGACGCATTCATATTTATGCGACCTAACCCAAATATCTACGTTATTAAAATGATTAGGGTAGTCTCATCAGGGTAGTTTACCTAACTTAGTCTTTAAATTAAATATCACGACATAAAATATTAATTAATGTCCATAACGAGAGGTACAAGCGTTGTCATTATTGTCCGGATCGGCCTGCATTGACATCACAGCCCGTGGACCCACCTGGGGTTCACCACCTGGTGGTCCAGGACTACTACTCTCTTGAGAACCACCGCTCCAGGTGGTATTTCGGACGATGCATCCACGCTGGCCAGATGTCCTTATTAGAGGTGGGACACCTACACTTTAGCCGACCACAGCGTGCCTTATCAATCATCTAACTTATACAGTTCTGATGGACAGAGGCGGGGGGGGGGGTTCAAGAAACTCGCGTTGCTTCGACTGCCGCGGCGAGGGACGGTAAAGAACCGGCAACCTCCGGGTTGCAAGCTCAGCGTGCAGACCGTTAAACCGCGTCAGCGTCTTGTAGCGCTGCGCGCCACCGTTAAACTTAACGGGGAATTTCAGGAATGGACCCCACGGCTCAGTCCGCTTGAGACGCCCGTAAAAAAATGCTCGCAAACAACGAGGCTGGCCAGCCGGGGCACGGGACTTATTGTGGGCGCCGTCAGGGTTGTCAGCGGCCAGGAGACCACTCGAGGCGATGGCGCGTCCTGGGTCTGAATTCGTGCCACGACTTGCGCTGCCTCCGGCACGTGGCGGCGTGCCCGAGGTCGCGATGAGACGGCGTCGTCCGTGTGGGTACGGACATCGGTCAGCGCAGGGAGATCACTCGCGACAGCCACGGTGTGGGCTGTGCAGTGCTGACCTCTCCCCTCGGCACCGCCACTACTCTTTCAGATTGTGATAGGGTCTGCCACCAAATTAGTTTCACATTTGAGGGTCCTTGCCATGAACATATCGGTCAAGCAAGGCTGATGAGACACTCTGTGTCAAGCAATCCAAAATTTGCTTGTACTTGAATCAATGCTTGCTGAAATTGCCCACTCCTGGAAGGCCGTTGTTTACAGACCATTTTTTTTTACGTGGAGAGATAAACATAGGAAGGAGATGTCTTCTCATCTGCTTTGTTATTTCTCATTCTCCACAACAACGTGAATTAATATTTTGAGTTCTGTTTTTTTCATGTTTTTATTATATTTCAGTCGGAGCCCAGTACAGAGCACAAACCGCGACGTAGGGGTGGGGTACAGAAACTCCGCAGGACATCGGTCCCGAACGATGTGCACGTGAGTTTAGAGGAGCTCACTGCTGCCCCGCTGAGTGGGGACCGCGAGCGGGGTGTGTGGACTTTGATGTGGGAAGGGGAAGGTGAGGGAAGAAGAACTTAACCCCTTTCCCGTTCTGATGACGTATTTACGTGTACGTCATAGATTCTTCTTCCGATTCCGTACCGATGACGTACGTGTACCTACGTCATCGGACGTGTACGTCACGTACGATTCTCAAACGGTATGGTTAGTAAAAGGCCATGCGGGAAGGCGAACGTGTGGCACAGTTTGGCCGCCAGCTATAGTAGAGTGTGGCCGTGGCACTACGATTCTCTGCGGCGAGCACAGTACAATGTTCTTAGAAACAGCGGCGCTACGCTTATATAAATAAAATTAACCGTAAGCGCTCGCGCTTCCCGAGATTCAGCGGTGAACGGGACCCACCACCCTGCAACTTGCAGACGTCTCCGAAACGGGAAAGGGTTAAGTACGGGAGTAGGGGTGGATATTTTGAGTTTGATCATCCAGGATATTACTTCGAATAATAATTCGCATAAAGGAATTCTCACAGGTGGCTGCTGTGAGAGGATATTTGAGTGAAGGCACGGAGGATGACAGGAGGTCGCGGTCGCACCAAGCAAACAAACGAGCGCCTCGAGCCTCATGCGGCGTGGATGCCCGTGGCATCACCGGACACGCCGAATACCGGCGGGCACGCGCCACTCTCACTCCTGCCACGCGTTTGTTGTTGGCACGGTGGCGCAACCCTGATCGATCGTTATCTGAGGTGCTCCGGAAGAATCCGGAATTGTGTGTGTTTTTGCATCAAAGCCTGCATTGGTCAAGTGCTTGATATTTGCAAAACCCCGAAACCGAGCGTTGGAATTCCCCTTTTGTGTAAAAGGTAAAGGTTTAGCCCTGCAATCGCATTCATTTTATAACTAGCATCAACAGATGACTATCCTCAACATATAACTAGCCTCAACATATAACTAGCCTCAACAAATGACTAGCCTTAACAGTGGAAAGATGGAGTTGGCATAGCTCCAGTGGCTTCCTATTAGCGGAAAGAAGAGCGTTCCAGACGGCCGCAGTGACGCATCTGAACACGCGCAATGCCGGTGACCGCCTTTGTTCGATGGCCAGCCAAAAGCCGCTACCGAGCATGACTGGAGTTCGTGTGATGTATGTGTGCGTATGTATATTGGACTTCTTTCACACCGTACGTATCCAACCGCGCTACTCGCCGGCGCTACTCGGCACGCTTCCCAGCAGCCTGTTAGAAGGCGACTGCGGGGTCAGCGACCCGTTGTGTTTGACTTGCGCTCACACGCTTGCAGGTGTACGCCGTGGGCGGCTACGACGGGCAGACGCGCCTGAGCAGCGTCGAGTGCTACGACTCGTTCGCCAACCGCTGGACGGACGTGGCGCCGCTCAAGGAGGCCGTGAGCTCGCCGGCCGTGGCCAGCTGCTCTAACCGCCTCTACGTCATCGGCGGAGGCCCCGACGACAACACCTGCTCCGACAAGGTGGGCCGCCGAACGCCGCGGGCGTGCGTTTTGTGCCGCGGTGGCTAGGAGACGTGACCTACCTCTCCTAGGTGTGCAGGAGGTCGTGGGTTCGGTCCCGACCCTGACGCCTGCTGTATATTTGGAGTTTGCAGTGTCTTCTCTCACCATGGTGGAGGGGATTTTTCCCTACACATTTAGGAAAAATGCATATTGATTGTTTAGATAATTTTGCTGCTCTAAATTTTCACGTGATAAGCCACTTCGTTGAGCTATTATTTGTGGCCAGGTCGCTTCTTAAAAAGAGCTATACAGCTCAGTGGATCTTACCTGGTAAAATAAAAATAGTTTTGTTTGCACACGGACTGCCACGACTTATATATAGGTATTTTTCATAAGTGACCTGGCAAATGATATTTCTACTAAGTGGCTTTTCGCGTGGAATTGTATAGCAGCAAAATACTCTAAACGTGTGATGTTGATTCTAAATGTGGAGGTAAAAACCGGAGGACCCGGAGAAAAATCCACGCGAACACGAGAGTGAGAGAGAGACACATAAAGTTAATGCAAATGCTATCCTAATGGTTTGCCAATTTTTGACTCGTGCAGAGAGAACCCGGAGACTCGTATTGAGACCCATAGACTTGCACAGACCCCATAGACTCACACAGAAACCTCTAGACTCCTATAGAGACCCATAGGTTTACAGAGAGACCCATAAACTCCCCTTGAATTTCACTGCACCGTAGTAGGCAACACGTGTACGGATACAAAGTGAAGCCGGCTCGCTCCTCCTGATGTTCCGCGGCCCCAGCACGGCGCATCACCTGCATCACCCGTCTCCTCCTCCTCGCTGTTAAATCTAGGTGCAGTGCTACGACCCGGCGACCAATACCTGGCTACTGCGCTCCTCCATCCCCATCGCCAAGCGCTGCATCAGCGCCGTGTGCCTCAACAACCTCATCTACGTCTCCGGAGGGCTCACCAACAACATCTTCTGCTACGACCCCCTGGAGGACTACTGGATGAACGTGGCCACCACCTTCAGCAAGCAGGTAGGGTGACCCCCCCCCCACCCCCGCCTAACCCGGAGCGCCCAGAAGAGGGGGAAACGCTCGATCCCGCGCAGGACGGAACGGTTGGCGTTCTCATTTTTGTTCACCCGCGGGCCTGCTACAGGGGATGGCTCTGACACGAGTCGCCTCCCTCCCTCCCTGCTCCCCGCCCCACCCACAGGAGAGCTGCGGCATGACGGTGTGCAACGGCAAGATCTTCATCCTGGGCGGGAAGAGCGAGAGCGGGGAGGCCATGGACACGGTGCTGTGCTACGACCCCGGCTCGGGCATCCTGACCGGCGTGGCCGCCATGCCGCGGCCCATCTGCTACCACGGTTGCGTCTCCATCCACCGCCACCATAAGCACTGAGGCCCCCACCCCACACGCCCCGCCCCCCGCCCCCCCGCCCTCCCTCGCCTTCCCGACGCGTGGCTGCTGCCGCCCGGCCCCATCACCGCAGCCCCTGCTGCCGCCCCTCTCCTCTATCCGGCGCCGCCAGCGTCACCGCGCGTCGCGACCCAACGGCCGTCGATCTCAGTGTGCGGCCGCTTACGAGCGCCCCTCTTCCGCTGGTGCATCCGAGCAGGGGGTACTGCACGGAGCCCTCGTGGGACTGACTCGGGGGAGGGGGGGGGTAAGCAGGGCCAGGTGCGGGGTTAATGACCCCCCCGTTGCACGTGACTCGAGTTGGTATAAATCAAACGCAGCGTCGCCACGCCTTCTACGCGCGGCCTCAAGCCGTGCACGTCATTGGCGCGGCTCCATTTGGAGGACCAGGGCAGCAAGGGCGAAGTTCTTCCGCGCAACTTGTCGCATCCGCTCATCGGTCAGCCAAGTGAGGCCAAGCTGCGCGCACACCGAGCGGACGCTGCCGAGGCGAAGTCCATCAATGGGCGGCACACTCAATGGAGAAGCAGCCCGATTAAAAAAACACACCGCGCACACACGACACGCGCGCGCCTGGAGACGATCGTCACTGAGCGAGCGCTGCGGCGGCCGCACCGGTAACTTAACGCCTAGACCACGCAAACAAACAAACAAAACTCGGCTGCACGTGGAGATGCCGTGCTGTTGTTTTGGCACGGACAATTACGCACGTGTCGGGCGACGCCGGAGAGCCAGGCTCTCTCTCTCTCCCCTGCGAGTCTGTGAACCGTGGCCGTTGCGTTTGACGGCAGCTCTGAGCGCCGCTCTCACGTTAACCTGATTATGCAGTCCAGTGGCGCTGTGGGGGGGTGCTGTGCCACGTCCCTGCGGGGCTGCCTTAATTGCCTGGCATTAGCATCCTGCTGTCAGGTCGTGTGAGCGCCACGTGGCAGGAGCTGCGAGCTCTCTGCTGTGTGTGCGTGCGTGTCAGGTTCTCCCGTTAGCGCGTGGCCTTAGGTCTGGGAATCGTTTCTGTGGCTGGTTTTTGGGTGGGCATTAGTCAAATGCGTATTTATAACGCATTTATAATATAAAAATCCCTGTGTATATTTAAGTTGGGGAAAATGTTGCGTTCGAAAAACGACGGTCGATATGGAGATTTTTTTCATTTTAGTTTCTACCCCAAAACAAACCCGAATTCTTGAACATTTCTATTTGTTGAAAAAAATATTTGAAAAGAAAAATATACCACCAAGTATGTATTAACATGTACCACCAAGAACTAAATAAGCAGTCAACGATAGCGGATCAAAAACAATACCATCCACGAACATGCCTTTTACTGTCACTTGATGCACTTGAAGGCAATGCTCTTTCTGATCGCCTGCGTTCAGCATTTTTCAAAAATCGCTTCTGGCAATGGGCCATCAACCCTTTCCCGTTCCGATGACGTGCGTGTACGTCCACGTATGTCATCAGTTTTTCTTTTGATTCCGTTCTGATGACGTATGATTAACACGGTTTGCTACGTACGGTGCGAAACTAGTTCAACATGCATACAAATACTATAATCGGTACCGAAGCTCCCACAAGGTGTGTGACAGAGTTTGGCACCAGCTATCGTAGAGTGCGTTCGTGACGTGACAGTTCTCTGCGGTGAGTGAAATTTCTTTAAAAGCCACGGTGCTACGCCGCTCTAAATAAAATTAAAACGCTGAACCGCTTGCGTGTTCCGAGATTCAACGGTGAACGGGACACCCCACCCTGCAACTTGCAGTCCTCTCGGAACGGGAAAGGGTTTAGATTTATCGCTGGGGATGAGAACGGAGGCCGTTGATGTGCTCGCGGAGAGATCTCGTGCAGCAGTTACGTACGCCCTTGGTCCGAGGTACGCTGTGGGCTTCTCTGAGCGGACATGTGCTGGGGTCGAAGGCCCCTTTCAACATCGACAATAACCCATTGTTTTTATAGTTGAAGAGGATTGATTCAATTAGTGGATTCTATTTTGATGGCGTGGGAGCAGTTGGCGCACTGAAATCGAATTTTTTTATTGAAACCTAGTTTCTTGAGAACGGCTTTTTGTGTCAAGTTTTTGTGGTCCTTCCCCGCACCTCTGATTAGTGTGGTTGGCTACGTACGGCACGAAAGAAGTTCAGTGTACATACACACATACTGCATTGCGAACCCGGCGATTCCTATTGCCACGCTCTGACAAATGTCACCGATAACAAGCTATAATGTGTGTGTGTCTGTGTGTGTCTTCATAGGTGCTCGCTAACAGCACTTGCCCCTACAGTCTGTTCAGGCTATACGGGGGATCTTTGTCTTGTGTTTGTGTATAGCTGGGGGGAGCGGTGGTGCAGTGGTTAGCATGCTGTGCTATGGACCCGAGTTCGATTCCCGCTCACGGCCAACACCGGTGATGATTATCTGAACCGGTCCTGGGCCTCCCCTCGGTTGACTCGGCCTCAAATGAGCACCTGGAGCCGGTGCATAAACATCGCTACCAGGGAGACAAAGGCGGCCAGGCGTGGTGCTGGCCACCCACCCCTTCGTGTGCCATGCCAGCCTTCAAAGGTGCTCCTCGCTAACGGCACTTGCCCCAACAGTCTCTTAAGGCTACACGGGGGGGGGGGGGGGGGGGTTCTTTGCCATCTCTCGCTGTGGCTGTGCGTGCACACAAAGACACGTGGCCCGTTGCGGTCTGCGCGCTCGTCACTTGGTATAAGCAAGCGCTGCTGTGCTGCAGCCGTGCTATTTGATAGGATTTGCATAAAAGCACTCGCTCTCTCTGCAAGGCGGGGCTTTCTGAGATCACAACCCTGGCGCGCGTGTGACCTTGTTTAAACGGGAGCGGCGGCGGGGTGCACGACGGTCAATGTTAAATGTCAAAAAAATGTTGAATGGGGAAAAAAAAGATTGCTTACGCCCGGGGAAACTCTGTGGTGCCCATTGCTTAAATGTGCCCATTTTTTGCACCGACGTTTTTGTTGACGACTATAAGGAGTTCTGCAGCAGGGAGCAGTCGGCCCTTCTTTGGCCTCCCCGATGCCGCTCGGTTGTGTTTTCGTCGCCATCGTCGCCATCGGTCGCCATCGTTGCCGTCGTCATTTGGAATGAGTCCTGTGCGTCTCCCGGGGAAGGTTGCCGTGCGCCGTCCACCGATGGTACCGAACCGCCGCTGCGGTGTCGTAACTGGCGCCGTCATCGTGAAAAGCGATCAGCCGAACACGTAGGGCGCTTCCTGAGTGGGTGCGCGACATTCGGTGCTGTGGATTATGTCAATGCCGCGCCGAGTGCTGGACCCAGTCGATGAACGTTACGGGAGCAGTATTTTGTTCTTGGAAAGTAAAGGTGAAGCCTTGCAATGCCCGATCGTGCCACCACGGTGACCGATCGCACCACTGCCGGCAGGGAAGGTCCTGTACGAGAGGGAGCTCGAGTGAGCCCCTGCAGCGGTGCATGTGGCCTACTCTTACAAACTGGCCACACACCTTGACCCCCACCACACGAGACCTGCCGTTGGATAAACTGCCGTGTGCCCATTTACACCGCTGGCTGGTCAGAGGTGGTGGAGAGTTCAGAAACGTTGCCGTCGTTTCGACTGCCGCACCAGAAGAACAAAGCGACGACCTTTTGATTGTCCAGTGTGCCAACCGTGGCATTAAAAAAAAATCATAATCTTACGCCTTGGGGCTTTGTCCACCAAAGTTTAGTGTTGTCCTTCCGCCGCACCTCCGATTAGCACAGTTGGCTACGTACGGTGCTAAGGAAGTTCAACATTCCTCTATACAGAATCCGGATATTTATTTATACTGGAGGAATTCGATGAGCTAAAAAGCTAGATTTTAAGCTTTCGTGACTGCTCTTTTTCACAAATGTCCAGTAGGGACGGATAAGAACGTTACAACGACAAACAATACAGAAACACGATAGGCGTGCAAAGTACAATAAAATTAAACAAATCACATAAACACACATACAAATACAAAACTACACCATCCACACCCTTCCAGGCAAAGCTCACCGAGGTGTTAACTTATTTTTCTAAAGCGACCTGGCTACAAATGATAGCTCAACAAAGTGTCTTTTAATTGGGACATTTATAGCAGCAAAATAATCTCAATAGTCGAAGGCCATCAGCATAATTCTCAGTTTGTCTCCGTGGCACACATTTTGCACAGGGGCGTGGGAGGGGGGGGAGGGGCTTGCACCTCGTGACCGTCAGACGAGTCGACGTCACACAGAGGTCGCCTTGCGCGTGACGCTGGGTGCGCAGCCAATGGAAGGCCACGAGCGAGCCGGCGTGGAGGGCCCGAGGTTGAAGGCAGCGGGGAGAGAAGCGGGTGTGGCCGGAGCTGCGCCCGTGTCGGCAGAATCGCACGCACAATGTGGACCGCTACATGGACTGCTTGCTTGCCAGTAACCCCCCCCCCCCCCCCCCAAGGCGTTTGCGAGCGGTGCCCGCACGGCGTTCGAAGCGACGTCTCGCGTTCAGCTCGTTGCGGCCTGCGTACATTGAACTTCTTTCGCACTGCCGTACGTAGCCGACCGTGCTAATCAGAAGTGCGTTGGACGGACAACAACCTAAATGCACGAAAGGCAGTTCTAAAGCAGCAGTGAGTTATCAATCTTGATGATTTCAAAGTGCACAGCTCCCAGTGGCCGCAGAAGTGCACCTGGAAGGGCTGCGATGCGGTGACCCTCTTTTTGCATACACCTGGAGCGAAGTGTCCGACGTGAGAGTGAAACCTAAAAAACTGTACAGCACAACCTGGAACACCGTCGCCGACACACCACTTATGTCCTTGCGGTGAAGCTCGCCGATGGGAAACTTGGTCGACGTGAATGGGAACCCACAGAGGTGTTTTGAGAAAAGTGCATGGAGTTTAGAAAACTTAAATAAGCTTTTATTAACCGGTGCTTTGGCGTTTGTTCACGTGTTTTTTTGCCCTTACTAATTTAACAAGGTTACAGGATGAGCTTAGCTGTGTGTCGTCGCGTATAAAATACAACGATAACTGTACATTTTAACTTTTTGAAAATGCGTTGGTTTTTGCCGGCATTCTGAATGCATTGTAAACCATACGAAATTATATTGTACATAGAACAACAAAGATTTACTATCCTATGAATAACAGTTTGCTTTCGAACACATTGCACACACACACGCAACATCCTACCCTTTATGATAGTACGTTTCAAATGGAGTTTTTGTAATTGTAAAAGTTTATCAATTCTGCACGAACTAACACATTGAAAAGTACAAACGGTGATTGAAAGTGTGTAAAACAACCCCTAAAAAAATATTATAAATATGTTGGATCGCTGGAGCTGGTCGAACGATCTTGTTCATGAGGCAATCGGCGTGACACGGAGTGGAAGTCGATTTATTTACCATTCTTGCTGATGATAACAGAGCATTTACATTGTGATATTTATCATAGATTTTGTATTATTAATATAATATTGCTCTGTTTTTTTTTTCAAATACAGTATGTGTCTGACTTAAGTTGAAATGTTGATAATATAAATGAGATAGTTGTTTTTTTCCTGAGGATCCTTCTGGGTACATTTGAGCCCAGGGTTAAACATAATGCGAGACTTTTGGTGTCCGCAGTGTCAATGTCGGTTAAACTCGTGACATTTACTATTGGTCGTGTTGCTCAGACAATTGGAGTGGCTTTCCTGACGAGTCGTTACGTTTTAAAACTCATTTTTTTAAGGCCAGACAATTAAACTGGCTCAAGTTATTAAATTTTAATGGTTTTATTTTGCCGACATTTTTTTCTCTCCCATTTTATACATTTTATTAATTGCATTTTGTGTCTAAGAAAGCGTGCGTGTCAAAATAGTGGTGTAAATTGACATGTGGATTTTCTCTAATTGTTAATGTGAATTTCGTTGTTTCTACCAATTAAAGAAAGAAATATATATCGTAATGGAGCCATAAGTTTTGCCTCAGGTGAGAGTTGTAAAGATTAATCACAGATGGTTTGTTGTTGGTGGTGTATCCAGTGATGGTGATGTGTTTTTTTTGGTGGACCTCCCCATTCGCTGTTATTGACTGGCAGTACAATTTTGCCCATTTTCCACTGACATATTCGAGCCAAGCCAGCCCGGAGCACCTCACAGTTCGGGTGATTTCTCAACTGTTTGCTGAGCCGAACCGAACCAGGACCAAACCACGAGGCTCTGGTCTCACGAGACATCTGAATATGACTTGGGGCCAAGCAGTGCCAGGGGCAACCTGGTTTCATCATCTTTGTCGTTACGTTGCGCCGGTCACATAGTCGACGCGCGTTCGACGTATCAGCGGCACGGCTCGGGTTGTGGAGTGGAAAAGAGCTATTTTGATAAGCAATACGAGCATAATACAGATCGGAGATTCTTAATTATCCCCCCACCACACTTTTCATTTTCAAACACGTGGGACCGACCTGTGATCAACTTAATGGCCAAAGTGAGCAAATCGCGTTGAATGTGTTGTTGACTTTCCGCACATTCATGGCTCCAGCAAGTTGCATCTGGTGCCAAGAGCACCACCATAACATAGGGCACTCGGCATTCAC